TTTGCAGCTTCTCCAGTTGTTCTTAGAAACTTCTAGGGAAAATGATGTTGACAAAACTTAAATGATAGGGAAAGAAGGGAAAAAACCTAATTTTTATTCATCATGAAGAAGTAAAAAGGAAAACAAATCCAGCCTGATTTAGCACCTTTTGAAGCTGACAATTGATTCTTATGCTTTGGCTGAAAACGTTGTACATTCAACTGAAATTTGGTTACAACATCTGAGACTTGGAAACAAAAAATTCCATGGGTATATTATACAAAGGTAGAAGCACTTCATTTAGTCTCTTAAACATTTGTTTGGGTGGTTTGATGAACAGGGATGGCCTTAGTTATGTGGGATGACATTTTCAAAAGTACGTATTTGATTTAGGGACTTGAATATAGTTTGCAGAAGTCACTTCAGCAATTTTACATGAATGGGGGCCTGAAACTGGAGGATGAGAAATGAAAACAGAAGCTGGGGAACAGGACTGGATGGATTTTTTTTTAATGTTTCCATAAGCAAAAGAAGAGAGGGGGAGTTAGCCATGTTAATCTGAAGTCAGGAAGAAGGCAGGACAGGGTAGCGTTAGAGACTAACCCATTCAGGTGCCACCCTGCTCTGATTTCTACATAAGCAAAAAAGAATTGTTTGAACTAAAATGACTGTACCTTCATAGGGATGGCTTATCACCACTTGCTCTTAGTGCATCTTAGTCCATTTGCATATTAAAAAACCCTGATTTGCCTAGGAAAATGTAATGCTGCTTATTCAAATCACTTTCAGTGATCAAAGGTTGCTGTAGACTTGGAGACCTTGTGTGGGCCAGTACAGGTGGCCCCTCCTGAAGCAGGGCACGATTCCTAGGAATTTATTTAGCAGGTGAATGGCAACATTTTCACAATATCCTGACTGATTTAGAAGCAGAAGTCCAAGCTGCAGAAGCAAACCAGATATTTTAGAGTCCAATGGCAAGTACCGTCCCAAGTATATAAATCACTTTTTAAAAAAATGGGACTAATTCTGTTAATATGTTGAAGACCTTTTGAAAAGTTTGCACTTGACCTAATTATTTTCTGCCTGGCTTCATGGATGTCTCTTCAATGCCCTTCAACAACAGAAGCTCATACCCCAGGGATGACAGTTCTGCAAATACAGACTTGTATGAGGAAAAGCATGAGTCCACGACTCACAGGACACTAACCTGGGAGATGGTATGCATTTGAGCAAGTCCCTGCAGCCCCTAGTTTCCCCTTGGAATATTGGGCTACTGGTATTTACTAGCCACTTTAAGCTCCTTTGCCATACACTGATAAAAAAAACCCAGGCCAGCAGCTAAGTATGATTGTCATAAGACCACTCTGAGTCAGGTTAAGCCTTGTTTTCCATGTGACTGGCTGCAGTCAAGGTGTAGCTCTTGTGGCTCGCATCAGAAATCAAGATCAAAGGTCCTCCTCAGCTTATCGGCCTGTGATGAAGGCATGCCAGTTTCTGTAGCCAATGGCACACCAGGCAGTGATGTGACCTGCATCACTGTCTCACCACCCGTACTCCCCAGCTCAAATGACCAGGTACCCATTTACATCTGGGACATTTAGGGCAAGCTTTGGCACATGTTTGGAGCAGAGCTTGAACTCATAACTTGGAACAAAACACCTGAACTTCTCTGCCACCAGACCCCAGAAGCTTACACTGACATTCCCATACTGGCTTTATACTTTTTCAGGTACTCATAATAGGGTAGTCACAGTGGCACAGAGCTCAAAATGAGAAGCAGAGGAAATGCTTGATGGTTGGCCCATGTTGAACTGCCTCTTACTACAGCTGCATTCCCACCAGCAGCTGAGGCAACGTAAACACCTAATATCTGTCCAAATTTACAGTGGATTTTCTTGAGGGGGGAATGAGAATTAGTAAGCAGGGAAAGCCTGGGTGATTCCACCCATTTCCCCCTCCACTTGTGGTTATACCATCTCTGAAGTGTACATTTTGGCCAAAAGCCACTTATGTGATTCAGCTTTGTCTGGGAGGGAAGGAGCAAGCCACCAACAGCCTCCTTCCCTGAGATTTCTGCTGCAGCCGAATCTGATGGCAATGCCACCTTGTGCGTGTCTTGTTTATCATTCTTGTCACTGCAAACTGCAGCAGACTCACGGGAGCGTACGTGGTGCGGTACGATACCTCCCTGCTCTTTCTCCACTTCCTTCCTTCTGAGCCCCCAGAACTGATAACCATTTTTGGTAATTTCCTCAGGTCTCATACACACAAAGAAGAAAAACACACAGGTCGTAGTGCATATAATGTGCCAGGTTGAAGGGGGTGTATTCACAATGCATTTTACAGTGCTCACAACTGGTGCATTTTCACTCTTTGTGGCAGATTCAAAACTATTTTTTAGACCTACACTGGGCAGGCTTGATTAGATACAAACCTGAACTGAAATCTCAGATCCAAATGAGTCTGAATCAAGAGGGAGGCAAGAGGGGTAGTTGGATTTGAACTCTCAGATCTGAATTTGTTTCTGTGAATTTGGTCACAGTACACGTTTCAAAACAGAAGGGGCCTGGGCCCCACATTTTGGATGTGGCTTGAAATGGCAAAAATAGTCAGATAGAGGCGCATCTACAAGAGACGGTTACTGTAGAGCTTCCTAATTAGCTCCACCATAACCTCTCCGCATCTACACACGCAGCCCTATTAGGCCACAGGAAACTAATAAACATTGCTTTAAGTTAGTACTTGTACTTACAAGTCCTATCTTGCAGCGGCGTTATCTACTGTGCAGCAATACATGTTTAAATGCTGACAGGGCTGGCTGGGGCATGAAGGTGCTTCAGAATGGGGGCTGCGAGTTGACTAGCCCCACACTGGAGCACCCTCATGCCCCAGCCGGCCCCTCTGCAGAAAGCTGAGTCAAGTTGGAGCAGCCCCAGGCTGGCAGGCTGACCCCCCAGGCCTCCTGCCAGCCAGGGCTGCTTTGACCTGGTTCGACACACCGTGGTCATGGGCGCATATGTAAACATGGTGCCTGGGAGCAATAAACTCCGGTGCATAGTTTATTGCTTCACATTCATTGCACATGTAGATGAGCCCAGTGACTGATGAAATCAAATCTGTCTCCAAGACGTAAGCTGACCTTCATCTAGACTTGGATCAAACCGCCCCTTCCTCAGCTCTTATCTTGCCTTCCTGTCCTATTTTCTAAATAAAAAGGCAGTTACACTCTTAACCCCCGTTCTGCAATGATCTTAGTACAGACAGACTCCCTGATTCTCCGCTGCTTCACTGAGATCTGAGACCTGCCTACACAGAGCACTTTGGCAGATCAAGGCCCAAGCAGGTGCAGTGATTTTTCTCACAGGGATTTTCAATAAGTGCGTTTGCATGGACCATTATTCACCCAGAAGCAGCCCAGGACTGTTCCACAGGGCTGGATGACATAGTGTGGCAATCTCAAAGGTAGTCTGTATTGGATTAATCTCTTCTGAACGGAGGTTCACCATTGGTTTCAGTAGAAGTGGAGCTAAGCCACTTCCCAAGTGAAGTTGAAAAGTCTATCCCTGGCTGATAAACTTCCTTTAAAAACTAAAGCTCCTGCTGTTGTCATCATTGGTAGATGATTACTTGCAATTTGCCAGTGCAAATAGAGTGAAAGAGTCTGTCTGCCACTCTGTAATATACAGGGCAAAGTTTTGCCCTACATGCCTTGGCAGTAATAAATTGCCATCATGCTGTTTTGGTGACCGAAGGACCCAGAGGCAGCTGAAGCATGCGCAACAGGATCCCTTTTTGTTCGCACAACACGTTTATTTCAATGTGTGATCAATCAAGGGGCTTTTTTCTCTCGGTCTGCTGTTGCTTTTTTGAAATTCTCTGGAATCTCACACTGAAACCTGCATCTATTTCGGCCTCCGAGTGGCTTTCAAGTCTTGTATAATAGACAATGTGCGGTCACTCTCTTATGAAAAAACGGAACCCGCAAGGAAACCCGATGCAAAATCCCTAGTCGTTACATGTGCTGCTAGCTGAGTGCCACAAGCCGAGGATCCAGCGCAAGCAGCTGTGCTGGGCAGGTAGGTAGCACACCTGTCCTTTCCCTTGAAATTGCTCTTCATGGTCGAGGGCTGCAATGGCCTCTTTGCCAGCTCCCCCTGAAGACTGAAGGGGGGGAGGTGGCCCCTTGGCCACTACCTGAGGAGGCCAGAGAGGAGATGTGTAGAACAATGGTCTGGCACTTAGAGAAATGGGCTGAAGCAAGGTGGGTGTAAGATGCATTTAAGGTGTGGGAGGGGAAGGGCTTTCTCTAGGGGGTTGTCCAGCAATACAGGATTTCGGGAATCCAGAAGTGGAGCTCTTCCAGCACGAAGCCGAGCATCTGCCCATCATCGATGTCAGCGCGATTATACCTCCGCCGCCTGGATTCGCAGGACCAGCCGGCTGCCAGCGCAGCTGCAACGCCCCTGACTTGGAGGACTTCTAGCAAAGGCCGGTACCCAGCCGGCACAGCTACCCGATGCCCTGCCCCACGGGGCCTGTGCTCGGTCCGGAGCCGCTGGGTTGAAATCCCCCCTAGCCATGCGGAGGGTCCCAGCACAACCAGCCCAGCCCGCCTGGGATGTCACCTCGGCTCTTTCCGTGC